CCCCCAGCCAGGGTCAACCCACCACAATGAGCTACCTGCAAGACAGCTACCACATCATAAGTTCTGTCCTGCAGTCCACACCTTCCCTGCTGGGACAGTGGGCAGGACCTGGGGGGACAGCACTGGGGATGCGTAAGCTCCAGGTGGGACCATGCACTGCAGACCTCCAGGTATCTAAATCCCATTCAGCAGTGTTGGTGCGCTTGGCCTTAGAGGATGATTCCTGTGACCCTCTGGGGAAAGAGGTCTGAAAAGATGGCAGCTGGGGGAAGTTCCAGGAGAAGGACATTGCCAAAGCCAGCGGGCACTATGGTACCTTCACTGTCCACTTCGGGGAGCAGCTTGCGCAGCGGCTTCCTGACTTCCCATGTGCTGTTGATGAATGTTGGCATCACTTTGAGCAGCTCCTCTTTGTCTTCCTCATGGATAACGGGAATTGTCTCCAGAATAAGCTGCATCTGTTCCAGCTCATGACCCCCTAAAATGGGCAGAAAACAGGCAGTGAGATGAGATCCAGAAGTTAAATTGGGGGGTGGGGGCATTGGTATTATCGGCCACCCATCTAAAATGAGCCACATCACCGCAGCACCATGTCTCCTGCCAGCCCACCCACGCTGATGCATGCCCGCATTAGCCACCGATCTTTGCTGCAAGGAAAAGGTGGTGGGATTTCCAGTCAGGTCACCTCTTTTCAGGGTGAAAGAGTTAACCTAGACAATTTGCCCTGCTGGTGTAATCACCCTGAGGCTGTCTGTGCGGCTTTTTGACTAACCTAGCCATCTATTTAAAATGGCTATGAAGCAGAAACCATACCTGACTGAAATTATGGGGCATGGGAGCTATTATCCATCAGTGGAGTCCGTCCTGCATGATGGAAGGAGTCAGATATTGGCTCTAAACGGCCTCAAAACTGATGACCCTCTTTAAGCAATACTATGGCTGGGCTTGTTTATAACCCCAAATGAAGCATCCCGGCTCACACAGCTGTGGCCAGGCAGGGCAGTGCCTGATGCCATCACCACGTGTCCCTGCCACACGCTGTGCTACACTGAGAAGCAAAGCCCCTCTGTGCAGTGGCGACAAAAAGTGCTGCCACAACCCCAATGATAACAAGAAGATCGTGAACCCAGCTCCAGGGGTCCCAAAGCTTCATCTTTAAATGAATGCAGGTGCCCGACTGCTCTCCCGATGGGAAAGGCGTTTTCTGACTGGCTCCCGCTGGCTGCTGGGCATCAAGTCAAGGCTCTGATGGTGATGATCCCCAGAACTGCTATGAGCAATCATATATTTTTAATGCTTTTCCTTCAGGACATATTTACCCACACATCCCTAAGCCCCCTCTCAGGACTGGCTACCAGTCAGTGAGAGGAGAGAAGCAGCAGTGCTAGCGGAGCGGAGCCAACTGCCTCATTAATGAACATTAATCCCATTCTTTAGTGCACTATTGGATGCGACCAAGAGCTCCACGGTTGATTTCCAGCTTCCTATGTGTACAGAGAAGCAGCCTGGCAGAAATACCGAGTCACGCTATTGATTTTCTGTCTGCCAGAAATGCCGGTTATAAATATTCTGTCATTAGAGGCAGGACTATCCATTAACACAGCGAGCTGGCTGGGGCAGACAAACCAACGGGGATTTTTGGGCTACCAAGTCTCTGCTGTCCAAGTAATGGATCCACTGCTTTACTGGCAAGCAGCACCCAGCTGATCCATGGCAAGAGAAGCGAACCTCATTTATGGCACAGCACTTCCAATCAGTCTGCAGGGAAGGTGGAGAGGTCAATTTCTAGGGGATGCTGGAGACCACTGCTGGCATCAAGCCCTCAAGCAACCCCATCCCTTTGGAGGTCCCTGGCACCTCGCAGGGGCCGCCCTTCCCAGCCCAGAGCTCTCCATGGGTCTGCAGAAGGTTTCCAGACTCACATCACTGGAGCTAACCCCAAACACACCCTCCCTGGGTAAGGGTAGGTCCAAACATCAAAGCTGGGGGAAAGGGTCTCCATCCATCACAGCCTCATCACTCCAAGAAGGTTTGGTTCAATGCAGTCGCAGCCACTTTCACCCTGAATGGCAAAGCTCCGAGCCAGAACATAGCAATGGACTTAGACAACCCCAAACCAACACTGACATTAGCACGGCTGGTCACCATCACACCACACGTCCTCTCAGAATAAAACCTCGGAAGAAGACAGACCAATAGCAAAAGCAAAAAAGACAGAGGGACACCTTCCTAATATCAATCCTGGGCAAATGAATTCACTTTCCTATAGAAAAACTAATTTTAGGTTATTTAGAGGTTCACAGCATGGCTCTGGGAGAAACTAAAGACGACCATCAGGAAACAAAACCCTTGTTAGTCAGGCTAATTCCCAAACTATGATCAAAATTACAGGGTATTAAGAGTCACAAAGGCGTTGTGGCTGTTCTCTCAGTGCAGCTCCAGCCACTGCTCACTGACGGTACCTGGTAGCTGAAAGGCACCGTGTTTAGTTACACAAAGAAGCTGCTAATGCAGTGCTGGAAGCATTGAATTATAGCTTTCAAAAACCCAATTCTCCACCATTATCCTCTATTTATGTAATTCCTAAGGACCTTCTGGAGGCATTAATCCCTGAAAAGAAAAACATGAATTACAGACAGAATGAATGCAACATGCTGCTGTTACCCGAGGAGAGAACGAGGAGCTCTGCATCGTGTCTTGGAAAGGGAACCCTTCCCTGGGCTTGCGATCAAGTACCAGGTGAGCACCCAAGCCCTGCTAGCGAATGCTCTGGGAGCAAGCATGGATCCCAGGGGAAAAGCCACTGCGCCACCTCCCAGCACCTCAGTGATGGGCACGGCCCCAGTGGTGAACCCCATGGATATCTGAGAGGACAGGAAGCTTTTCTTTTTCTTCTATTTTCTCTTGCCTCCACTGGCTATGCTTTCGTATATGCTTTGGCAGCAGAGGGTTGAAAAGTCACTGGAGGGAGCTGTAGCCACTCAGTTACGGATGCTCTTCCCTGTTTTCCACACTGCTTGTGGTGGGGAGCTCTCTAAAGGTCTGCGAACCAGGTTTTAGCTGTTGGAGACGTGCTACGCTCCTGCGAGCTTCGGGTTAGCCAAATTTCTTGTGCCCTCCTGGGCCTCTGCCAAGCCCAAAGCTACTCCTGCCACCACATCGCCCAGAGAAGGGGCTGCGGGGAGGGGGCTGGGGGTCCTGCTCTTTTGGGTGCTCGTTATCTTGAGTAGCAGAATGAAAGCAGTGAGTGACATCTATTCCTAATAACTGATCACCTTAATTTAACTGCGTTGCTTAAGCACTCCAGGTAGATAGACTACCGAGTTAATTATATTGACTTATGCTAAGCACCCAATTTAAATCATGCTGCTGACGCACACTCAAAAAACAATTTATCCAGTGTAAGGCAATTACTGGACGTTTGCAACTTTCTGGGAACTACATCGCTGTTATTTCCCACGGGGCGTTTGCCAGTGACCCAGGACTCTCTGAAAGCCTCGTCCTGCAGACGCAGAGCATGGCTGCATCTGGCCACGGACAAACTCGTTCTCCCAAGCGAAAAGGAGAAAAATCAAAAGCAAAGATGAATCCTTGCTGTCATGCGAGTGTTTGCCAGTTTCAGTTATTCTGAGTGACCGGGGTTTTATTCTCCTCCACTTTGGAGACCAGCAGATGAAAGATGGTATGTGGCACGGGACGCCATGGGCACCCTGCTTCTTTACTTACTGGGATAGGAGGAGGCCAGGAAAACGAGGCACCGGGCCAAGACCTTCCCGTAACAACTCTACAGACTATTTTTAAAGCAACCCAAAAGGAATATGCATTTTGAGCTCCAGTTTGGATCCCCACCCATTGACTAAGTATCCTGCCATCATCTGGGGGCTTATTAAGCAATTGCACAGGGCTGGAAAGCAGAGAAGCAGGGATGCTTGCAGCACTTGTCCGGCTGAGCCCAGTCTGTGGTCTGCCAAATCCCATCTCCTGATCTCTAACCTGCTGCGGACTCTCAGGACCAACCTGCAAAGTTGGTTCCTGTATGGATGCTCCGGGCATCTCGCCCGGGTGGCTGGGACAGGACTGATCTCACCTGTAGCCATGTGCAACACCAGCATGGGCACTTCAGCTTGTTCTCTAGATGCTCTTTATGAGCAGTAGTGGAAAAATAAATATTTCCAAGGTACAATCAATCTCATCTGAAGGCAGACAGCTAACAGAGGCCAGATGAATCACATCCTGGAGCTGTCTTGACCATGACGGGAGCTTTAAGGACCAGGTTGGCCACCTAGGTGGTAGCTGGCTGGTGTCAGCCAATGTAGCTTCTACCCCTGGGGTCCACAAACAGCAGGACAACCAAGCTGGGGATGAGACAGGGGTCAAACACAGTTTGGAAAGCCAGGAGAAAGATGAGTGCTTGGGTGATCTGATGGGGACAGCCAGAGAAGGACATGGACAAGACAGTCTTGTTTTGCTGTTTGACACAAGGACAAGTACAGGAAAAGAGAAATTGACTCAAGAGCCCAAAAGGATTTCCCCGGGGCTCCAGCTACACCCACTTCAATATGAGGCAGCATGTTGCTCTGGTCTGGTGCAACTCCTGCAGCACCAGGACCCTGCCATCTGCGCTGGGTTTGCTTCTGCTGCTCTGCTTTACCTGGGGCTGGTTCAGGTCCAGTGCCCTGGACTGGCAGAGCCTTAGCTCTGCTCAGGAAAGGCATCATCCAGTTTGCTTCCACCCAAAAAGCTTGGAGAATCTTCCACAGTGCAAACCATGGCTCAGGAAGGCGAGGAGGCTGGCAGAGCTGCCTTGGGAGCTCACTCATGTGCAGCATCTCCCAGCGAGACCAGAAAATGCCCGTGTCTGCAGGGACAAGCGGCACGTGGAGACATCCCTGCTCTTGGAACATGTCCCGAGGAAGCATCAGGAGCAGCCAGGTCTGATGCATAATTTTCAGAGCTGAAGTCTCTGGACTTGAAAATTTTGGGGAAGAGAGATCGAGGACAAGAGGAAGGAAGGAAGGAAAGGGAGGCAATTTTAATGATCTCTTCAAAATGACACTGACTGCTTAATTTTCAGCTTTCACAAAAGAAATATGGAAGCTGCAAGCGGGAGCAGGGAGGGAGCGACAGAGCAGCTGCAATCAAACACTGGCTGCGGAGCTCTGCGGTGCACTGAAATATTTGTGAAGAAAATGTCCTCCATTATTAATGAGTCTAATTATTTATTTACACAACTCTGCAAACAGCTGCTCACGAAACGCGTTAAACTTTGTCATTCAAAACACTAATGGGCGATGGAGAGACAACCAAGGAGGAGCATTGCTGCAGACCTTGGGCAGCTTCTTTGGTAGCAGGAGAGTGTCTCCTTCATTCCTGAGTGAATGCCTCTGTGTCCCAGCTTGGGAAGCACAGCTTTGCTCCTGACAGTACCATTTTTGGAATCGTATTAAATAAAGATTTGCTTCTCAAGAACATCAGAGTTAAGCTTCAAATGCTGCACTGATAATTCTGTGCTCCTTGCCAGTGCTTTTTTTGGTCTTCCTTTCCTTGCACTGCACCTTTACAACTCCAATACCCACTTATAGGAAAATCCTGAAAAAGGTTGAAAATGGGTGGTGGCATTCAAATGTCAAATAACCAACCACAGGATCCCTATAGTGATGCTAAAAGCGTGTCCTTGGCTGGCAAGGAAAGGGGAATTCCCTCTGCCATGCTAAAAAGCCTTTGAAGTGGGTAGTAAGGAAAGAGGGAAGGAGAAAAAAAAATTAATGAACAGGAGCCAGAAACCTACCAGCAAAGAGCATCCTTCCCGTCAGCATCTCGGCCAGGATGCAACCGGCTGCCCACATATCGATGGCTTTGGTGTAGTTGTTTGGTGAGAGGAGGAGGCGTGGGGAGCGATACCATTTTGTTACTAAGCCTTCGGAAAGGTAACCCTGAAAAAGTAGAGACAGAGACGTCAGCAACCTTGCATGAGAGCTCCTCCGCTCCTCCCCAGTCAGCCCTCGCTGCCTGCCGTGGCCCCACCATCGGATCCTGCAGAGAAACCTGCCCATGGTGCTTCTGCGGCATCTATGGCAGGCTGAGGTTGTATATCTTGCAGGAAGCAAAGAGGTGAGACGTACACCACTGGAAACAGAGATGCTTTGGTGCTCCAGGAGGCAGAGCACTCGCTGCTCCCCAAAAACTTACTTGCTGTTTGTCACCATGGTATTGAAGCATCTTCTGCAAAGGACAGATGGCTTAATAGCACAGATTTGCAGATCATACCTGCAAAAGTTATTTCAGGTCACTGTTAGAGGACTTAGATGTATTATATAAATCCCAATTTCACCATCTGAGATGTTCTGGAAGTTAAGCACATTACTTGAGTGCTTTGCTGGGACCCAGCTATAACCCCCCAGTGTGTGAAGGAAGCCTTTGCCAGCTCAGTACCTGCAAGCGCTTGGACTTCCAAATCTTACCAGTTTGCAATGTTTTGCTAATTCCATCTCTAGTTAAGCCTGTATTTCTAGTCCCTCTATGGCTACCTAAACTGCTGGTAACAGCGAGCTATGTAGCGTTGAATTCCCACAGGTCCATCTGCCAGCACTGGTGCTGAAATTGAAATTTTGAAGGTCAGGAGCTCCCTTGGGAGCCCATGCAAGAGCAGCCGCCCGTGTGTCAGCCCTGGTTGGGCACAAACCCACAGTGAGCACCGGGGGACATGCAAGACCGAAGCAAGAGGTGGCACGGCGAGCACACAGGGCTCCCAAGTGGGCAGGGCCCAGAGGATGCACTCAGCAGGATCCGGCCTCGCACAGATGCCAGGCAAGTTCACCCTGCCAGCATCATCGGGATGCTGCTGCAGTGAACCCCGCTTTGGTTTGGGGTGTGTGCTGGGAACTGCGGACGAGCTCATGCAGCATCTCCCAGGGGTGAGACGTGGGATCTCGTAATAAAGAGAACAGGAGGATGGGCAGAAAAACAGATTTAGGGAGGAACATCACTACTGCGTGGAAGGAAAGCCTCCTGGACCAGCAGATGTAACACAGCATCACCGAGCAGGTAACACAGCCCTGCAAGGGAGATTTAACGCAAGTTAATCTCCCACCCGGGAGATTTAACACAGGTGCCAAGCGCTCAGCAGCTCCCACTGAAATCAGGGGGATGCCTTCAAGCCTGTAAATAATGCTGGCATTGTAAAGGAGGTCCCAGTGCCCCTGGCTTCGCCCACTGGCCAAGGTCCGGATGCGCGGGTGCCACGCCAGGGTTGGACATGAATGGTTATTTCATAAGGATAATGCTGGAATATTCAAAAGCGGTATTTTCTATATTAAATATAATGCATTAACAGAATGAGGTAGATTGAAACACAGTCATAAAGTTGAATTGCATTTAAATGCTGTGAAGTATTTGGAGAGTATCAAAATGCAATGACAGTACGAATACAGTTCATGTAAAAACTCAGTGGAAAAACTCCACCCTAACTGATGTAGTTTCATAAACTATTTTCAGTTGCAGATGCAGTTATGCTATATAACATCTCCTAGGATGTTACAGGATACATCCCTCAGCCTAAACGCAAGAGCAGTGCACCATCACAAACACTACAAGGTTTGTAATGCTCCTCTTCCCCCAGTGCAGGTTTTTGTTCCAATTTCCAAACGTGCAAGTCGTCAAGCTTTTAATCATAAAGGGGTTGCTTATAAAGAACATTTCAATTTTGGTCTTCTTAAGATAAGTTGTAATGGAGACTGATTAGCTGAGAAGTTTCATTTAATGCTGTTATATTTTTGCTAATGCTGCTGAATCAGAACCGGCACAAAAGCCTCCAGGCATTATCTGATCAGACCGCCAATTTTCAGCTACTGTAATTATTCCCAACAATAGAGACATTGATATTTATTGGAAAAATCCTAAGAAAGTAAACTTTGGGGATAGTGATCCAGGGCAATTCCTGGCCAGAGCAATTTCCTCCCTTTCCTGGCAAAGGAATGCCATTCTCCTTACAGATTTAACACTCAGTTCATATGTTTCTCCTCTCTGACAGCAAGATGGATTAGAGTCCTTGGGGGTGTGTGCATCATGCAAAATGTATGAGCAATATACTGCAAATATCTCTATGTTCCAACTAGCCAAACCATTTCTTCCCCAGGCAGCTCTCATGTACTGGAGAAAATTCCTTGCAAAAACTTACTGAGTATTTTGGATGCATCTTCAACCCCTCCCCTGCCGTGTGAGGTTAGTGGTGGTAATTAATTAGCAGTGCTTCTCATTGTGCTTCCCTCTTCTGTTACCCATCACCATGTATCTGACTGTCGTCTCCCTGCTTCCATTTGCTGAATAACCCAGACCACCAAGCCCAGAAAGGACCTGTGGAAAGGAGCTTCTCTCCATCCCACCAACTCGTGGACCATACAGTTGGACCCCTCCTTCCTTCCCATGGCATTCTGCTGCTGGGCTCTGGGTTATCCTTCCTCTTTCTCAGGGGGGAAAATACTGAGAAGGGCTGATGGGAGGTTTGAAAATCAAGACTTTTCTGACCTGGCACGAGGTCCTCTGGCAGGAGCGGTCCTGAGTGGCTTATACGGACCCAACACCCACATCTGCTCTGCCTCCACGGTGGCTAAAAACATGGGCTAGATCTTTATTTTTATAAAATATGTAAGACAAGCTTCTGTCCTACTGCCTGGAGGAAGTAAGTACAGTCCTGTGGACTATCAATCCTATGGAGAAATATCACCACAGCTTTGGGAGCCAGGATCACGCAGTTGCTGGCAGAGCGGCAGGATGCTTGGGTAAGGATCCACCTAAACCAGGGTTAGGTACGGGCTCAGCTCTTACCCGTGGTGCCAAGACTTACACAAGGGCAGCAGCTGTGTCAGGATGGAGAGCCTGAGCACTTCCAGCTATCACCAACGCAAGGCATGGGCTTTAGTACAAGAATTTCACCGTTTATGTAGATTCAACCAGACAGAAAGACCAAGGGCAGAAGTGTATTAATTACATCTAATAAAGATGGAACACGCATCTTCATGACAATATTCTGTGGATTCAGGACAGCCCTTTCTCAACTGAAGAACCACTGGAATCTCTTTAAAACCCAATATAACAGAGTTAATGTAAAACCAGAAATAGTTTCAAGTCCAAGGCTTGCTCTCAAGCCCTCCCTTCCTATTTTTTTTTTTTTTCAATTTTCAAACATCATTTTCCTGCTTCTCTTCTGCTCCTGCAGCATGTGCAGGAACAGCTCAGGCAAACTATAAAGGTGATGAATTCATTACAGGTAGAATAAGCATCAAGTCGTATCACACAGCACAGCAAGGAAACTGAAAAGCAAAGAAAAATGAATGCTTTTTCTAATCTTTACACAACACGGATTTTGTGTGTTGCTAGAAACACCAGAAGGAGAAACAATTTCGGGTGGGTGCTGCTGCATCCCAGTGTCACAGTGGTCACTGCACGCCAGACCGCCTGCATCCTGAGCGCGCGGAGGGAAGATGGCACGGCGCGGCAGCACATAGGGAGTGCAACAAGACCCACCGGTGCTCTGATACAACCAGAGAAACAACTGGCCCAAGCCCAGAGCTCCTCTTTGCAGCTGGAGGGACCAAGGGCATGTCTCCTGGAGGCAGACGCTGAAATTCCAGATCCTACGTACTGCAAACCAAGCAGCCCCTAACACCGCAGCCCAAAGGCCTTCCCAAGAATATTTCACACCAAAAGCCATCTTTCTGCACTCAAAAAGCCGCAGAGGTGTGGACCAGATGCCTGCAAACTGGAAATCCATCAGGATGCACCCACAGTCTGCGTACCTGTGCCTCCATCCACAGCCACGAACAGGATTTCTGCCACTGCACCCGTGGGAGCCAGGTCGGCTCCTGGTGCAGACAGCTGCAGTGCCAAGGTGGGTCCTCAAAACAGCAACAACCCCAAGCTTTCGGAATAATCCTGGTGCAGCAGCAGGCTGGTGCCTCTTCGCAGTGTTTTTTTTAAGTTTATTTTTTAAAAGGCAGGTAGGGCAGTTGTAGGAGAAGCTGGGAAAGACACCGGGTTTGCAGGAACATTGCTCCAAAATAAAATAATAAAACCCATTGTGCATGGCTCCAGCAACATGACCTGTGTTCTTATCATTTTGGGATGACAGAGTGCATTTATTTCAGGACCACAGACTATTACGTGCTTCAGCAGAGGACAGAGAAGGAGAACAGCCGAGTTGGGGTCACAGCAGGGAGGCTGCACTGGCTGCATGGGGCCATGGGCAGCTGCCCGAGAGTTGAACGTGGAGGGTGGTCCCCTCTGGGTCGAGTACGGAGCAACGTCCCACATCTTCATCTCCTTTGAAGATCTCCTCATGATGATTCACTTGGGAATTTTGTTATTTTACTGGATGAACTGGAAGCTATTATGTTTGCACTGATCACCAAGTATGAAACAAAGGGAGGACTTCAAAGGTTTGAAGATGTTCTGGAAACTATTTACCATGAGCTCTCCCCCTAAAAGTGCGGCTGCACCCTCTTTAGCATAGAATTTCTGCCAATTAACTCTGTAATTAATATTGCCTTCTGAAACATTTATTATTTTTAAGTCTAGACATTCATTGGTATTTATCCCAATTTTTAATGCTTGACTTTGCTATCTCCCTGCTCTCCCACCCCTCCTGCCCACCACGAGCTACGGGTGCTCAAGGGAGGACAGCATCTCACTTTTACACCTTCTTCCCCCCCCAGACTTGGGGCAGAACACATCTGGACTCTCATCTGGAGCCAAAGATATTTATTAGGGCATAGGAATGGGGATGGGTGGACAGATGGGCAGATAAACACAGCCAGGCAGCCTCTGAAGAAATGCAGGCAGGGGCTGGACCACGGGGGGAAGGCAGCGAGGCGTGGGGCAGGCAGGACCATGAGGCTGCAGATGGAGGGGGCATTGCAGAGCACTCCAATGGTGAAGGCAAGATGCTTGCATTCAATAAGGAGGCGGTTTCTGAAAAGGGAAATGCTCGGTTTTGTTTCGCACAAGGATAAGGACCTCATGGAGGCCAGAGCTGTGGCTTGTCTTCATCTCCAACACTCCCCCACTCACCATTTGGGCACCAAGTCGCATGGCAAAGCGTTCAGACCACGAACAGCAGTGACTGAGGAAAAAGGGACTAATGAGGAGATGTTCTAGAGGGATAAACAGCAGGATTAGCAACTCCTGGGGGTAAAGAGTAGTAAGAAGGAAGTGAAAGGAGCCTGCATGGCTGGATGGTGAGAGCATCGGGGAAGAGACAGGGTGGCAGAGAGAAGGGGGCACACAGGATCATCTCCCGAGGCTCCTCTTCTGCTAGACCTGATATTCTGTGCCCTAAAGAGATGTTTGCAAGCACATGAGCACCAAGGAGCTTAGAAGCATGTTTATCTGAGACAGGGCTCAAATTTAAGCCGTCAGGTCTAAGCAGCCTGTGAAGGTGCAGACCCAGATCGGGACATGACCTTGGCACCTTGAAATTCATCTTGTTTGTTATGGAGAAGTTTCAAGCGAACAGATGCCCTCCCATGCTGCTCTTACCACATGGAGAAAGGGATTTGAGCAACAAACACCGGCCAAATGGTGGGAGAAATACAGGCGAAGCTGCTCTGCTTCAAAGCTGGTGAAGGTCAGCACCCTGCTGTGATCCAGGGCATCTCCTAGAGTTGGAGAGCTCTCCCTTTCCTGCTAAATTATCCTAATTAATCCTAAATTAATGGTTGCCTGCTGCAAGCCATGTAAACAAGACACATTGCCAAGTAAGAGCTATTATTTAGGTGGTATATGTATTTCTAAACTGTGTTTAAAACTCTGCTCACAATCTACTGCAGTTATTATTTGCCATTTTAACACTCAACAGGATGGTCTGGGATTTGAGAAACATCGGGTCAGAAGAGCTGTGACCTTTTAGATGAATAAAAAAACACAACCTGCAATTCTTTGTGTTAGCAGGACCCAACCATCAGTCTAAACATATTCCAGATACAAAACATGCTAAGAGAAAAAATATCCAAGCGCTTAAGATGACCCTTCCTCGCCGCAAAGACTTGCAAGAAAACATTACGCTAGAGGTGTAGCTCTCTGTTGCCTTCAGCGGTTTGGATCTCCTGGGTCTTTACAGCAATTAATTACTCAGGGAGTAGGATTTCATCTGCTTTTGGGCAGCTCTGCATTAGCACCAAAATTCAGGGTGTAAGGATCCCTGTTCTGCTCAATGCTAGTCAGCAGCAGGGTAGAGGCTCAGCACCTTCAGACACGGTGACGCTCTGGTCTTCTCCCTCTTGCTGATGCTTTCTGCGAGAGCACAGACCAAGGAGCTTATAAATCTGTATGAGGCCTTGAGGAAAGCGGAGGTTGAAAGAGAAGTATGGAAAGGAAATGATTTTTCTGAGTCATCTGAGAAGAGCTGGAAATCAAAGGCAGGACTGACCCAAGCCCCATCCAAGCCCTCCTGTTGTACCTCTGCCTTTGTAGTGCCCATCACCCGGCTTCGGCAAACAGTCCTCCCCATCACCAGAATTTACAAATACTGACATCATTTGTGGTGCTGGATGCTCACCACAGCACTGCTATTTTGGGCTCTGCTCTGGAGCGGTATCCAGGTCTCTCTGCACAGCGGGGATCTGCCGTGGGGATCTGATGCTCCAGCCTCTCACCCCTGGGAAGAATTGGAGGATGCTCATGCAATGGCATCTTGCAAAATTATGTCCTACCATGAAACTGCAGCCCTGGCCATCCTCCTGACAGCTCTTTCTCACTGCACTGGCTGTTGTTAAGGTTAGTTAAGCATTGCTTAGAAATAAGAGTAATTCAGCAGCAGACACAGACAGATGACTCCTACCCTGATCCTGCAGTCTCTGACAAGATGATGCTCCTTAAATCAGTGACTTTCTGTGTTCACATAGCACTGCCTTATTTGCAGGGGTTTTCTCTGGGAGTTACCCTCCCTTGGTAAAAGCCTCTAAATGCACCTGACTTTAAATAAAAACCCCACTCAAAATGCCAGGAGCCTCTTCCTGAGCTGGGTAATAACTAACTGGTGAGGAAGGGAGCACAGGAAGAGCAGGCACCAGTGAGAAGGACCCCACATTCACTCCCCGATGTCCCTTGCAACCTTCTTCCTTTTCCCTGGGCTTTCCTTCTCCCCAGACTCGAAACCAGAACGGATCAGGGCTCAGCTTCAGGATCACAAGATCGTCTTTTCACCATCCTTTTCCCTCTGCCCATCCCTGCCTCCCTGCGCAAAGCAATGGTGCCCAAATCAGAGCTGCACTGGGCAAAAACCCACTGGTACATGCAAAGTGTATTTAAACCTTCACTCAGGCACAATGGTGGGTCCATGGGGGACACTGAACTCATCCAGACAGACAGACAGACAGCTCAAGAAAATAGATTTTATATTATCTTACAATGCCAAATAGTAATTTTAACCAGAAACAGGCTGCAGACTGCATCACGTCTACTGATGCAGACCATACAATGTTCATGGGACCACATGGATCTCTGAGCTGATGAAGCTTCCACCGCGCTCCTCCGCTCCTCCAAACCTCCAGCCTGGATGGCAACCTGCATTAAACATCTGCAACTGCCTTCAAAATCCATTAGCATCTGGACTGAGTGTTACGGAGCCTTCTCACCCATTTTCCTTGCCTCACTGCTTTGCACACTGCCTGTGTCAGCACAGCCACTGCCCCCACCTCGAGCTGCTCCACCAGCGAAGCCACTTCCCAGATCTGCTCCCAGCTCCAACCTCCCTTTCGCAATGGCACAGGAGAGCCTGGGGGCAGCGCGGCTGCAGGAGACTGCCACGCTGAATTAAATGTGTTAGAGGAAAAATGCAGCTCTTTTAATAGCTGGATTTTTGCCTCAGTATACAACTGGTTTCAGTACCTTAGATTATTTTGCAGAGTTTGGCAGCTCCCTGAGAATACGACCCTTCGCAGAGGAGCCCACGTGGCTCACTAATCACTTGTTAGAAAGTGCCACTTTGGGGGAGTTTCAGCCCTCCTTGGGCAGACGGAGAGGAGCTGGCAACAGCAGCAGGAGAGGAAAACTGAGTCAGTCTCAAAGACCCCCCAGGGAGGGGATGGATTTCCTCTACTCAAGGGCAGGTATTTGTTTTCCTGCATTTTAATTCATTCCTCCTTTCCCTCCTTTTCCATCCCAGCCAGACTGCCGCAAGAAGGCATGCATGGACTGACGGACGGGATCTTGACCTCAAATGAAAGAATATGACTGTAGGTCAAAGACCCATCCCTCCTTCCCTAAGTAAGTGTAATTCAGACAGAGTTGGGTTTTTAAAAAGTGGGTTGGCACAGAAGTGAGGACAAAGACAAGCAGAATGGCTGTGGATGAGCCGGGTATGGTTTCCACGTGCTTCCGTGCGGGATGCTCGGCAGCTCGTGTTGTATAAAAGCAGCAGCAAAGCAAGAAACAGCAAGTTTAGTCATTTAAGTGAGCAAACACATGCCTCCCCACAGTCCATTGCTGGGTTAGAATAAAATAGATAAGTATATATTTGATATATATGATATAAAGCAATGAAAGACACCTGAATGGCACTTGAACCCTTCCTGTGCCCTGCTCGGTGCTTTGTGGTGCTGGAGAACTCTGGGGCGTGCTTGGCAGAGCTCAGCCCACGGGTATGCCTGGGAAACATGTCCTGCCTTGGGGCAGGGAGCGTGACCACCACCAGCGACCACCCCAGCAGGGTTTACAGCTGCCCAAACAGGCTCAAGGACCAGTTGCTCCCAAAAAGATCCACCACAATCCGAGCGCTTCACCCTACACGCATTCAACGCCTTCCCATGCCAGCCAGAAGCTCACTGACACAGCACTGGCCTCGGCAATTTGGCATTGCCTACCTTATGTGAGTAATGCTGATCCACGATTCTGGCCAGCCCAAAGTCACCGATCTTCAGCACCAGGTCCTCCGTGCTGATGAAAATATTGGCCGGCTTGAGGTCACGGTGGAGGACGTTGGCTGAGTGGATGTACTTCAGCCCCCGCAGTAGCTGGTACATGAAGAGCTTGGCGTGCTCCTCAGCAAGCTTCCCCTGCTCCAGCAACCGTGCCAGGTCTGTCTCCATGTACTCCTGGACGATGTACACCATGTTAAACTTGAAAAAATCTCCACGCAGATTTGTCCCCTTTGGCCCCAACACCTCGTACACCTTCACTATGTTATCGTGGTCCAGGCGACGGATGATTTTGATCTCCCGGAAAGCGTGCTTCATGCTCTGCGCGTCGCCGATGGTGATCTTCTTCACCGCCACTTTGCGGCAGCTCTTACTGTCAAGGGCTGACAGCACCAGCCCATTGGCCCCGAAGCCCAAGGGGCGAAAATTAATGAAGCGACAGCCCAGGTCGTACCCGTACATGCTAGCGATACAGTCACACTTCTCTGCCATTGCGGGCTCCGTCCTCTTTTGGCTTTTTCTCCTTTGTCACTTGAAAATCTGGGACAGTTGAAGGGCTTCCAGATTACAAACGTGGTTTGAAACCAAGTGCCTCATTATTAAAGATGCCCATCGCTTCAAGATGACACGCAGATGCAGTGAAAATAATGTGAGCACACATGCACAAATAAAATGTTTTAAACTGGGTGAGAAATCAAGGGATAGAAGAGACTTTCCAAGCAGTGTGGATAACCACAGCCCAGAGATCTCTAGCAAAACAGAAAGGTTATTTTTCTTGAGACTAAAAGATCAGCACTGCTATGTTTTTCAGCCACGTTCTTGTTTTCCTGTTCCAATGTCCCCGAGTCAATGTCGAAGCACGGGGCTGGCGGCACAGCCGGATGCCTGGCCCCACGTCCCCGGCGTCTCAGTGCCGGGGCAGCCAGCCGGCCTCGTGGCAGGGCCGAGACCCGAGCAGCCCCACACCCTTTTTCTGCCCGAAACCCTCCCTGCCCACAAGTTTTGACAGAGTTTTCCCCACCAGTGAAGCGCATCCAGGCGCTGGCCAGGCTCCCCAGCAGTCAGCAAAGCTTCGCCCTTCTCGTCACTCCCTTTTCAGCACAGGCAGACCCCATCTTCCCCATCAGCAGTGAGAAATCTTGATGGCAGCAAATATTTTGCAAATCAAAATTCTCTTTATTGGCTGCATTCAGCGCAGTAAGTCTCCATGTTTGCAGTTCCAACACCTTCCCCTTGTATGTCTTCCGCTGGCGAAGCCAAATGCCATCTGATCTTTACAGCTTGCTGCAGGAGTTCCCTGTGCTGTGCTGCCCGGTTATTCCTCAGCAGGTCTCAGTCCTGCTCCTGGAAGAAAAGAGGAGATGGATTTATTTGTTATCAGCACTGCTATGCCCTGCCTATGTAATGGCTTGCTGAAGGTTAACCATGAGCAAAACTGTGACCTTTTGGAAACTCATTAGTTATCCCCTCCAAAAGCATGCATCAATACCAGCATTTTTCAGATGATTAATTTTTCCTTTTCCATTTGTAATACACAGAAAACTCTAACTCTTCCTTTCCCCTTTGTTAGTTTTTTTATATTTATTTATTTTAATCTGAAAATGCTACAGAGCTATTCGCAGAAGGCAAAAGTTGAACAACGCACTATGTCTCTGACTGCCTATTTAAACCGCCTCGCAAGGAAAGCAGGGGCTGAACTGTCCCTGCCGAGCAGCTGAGAGCAGAGATGGCCACAGAATTCTTCAGCTTATAATGACTAAAATTGCTTGGGCAAACAAGGTGGTACCGCCATGGCTGGTTTTGCAAAGAGTCTTAAAAACCAGCCACAAGGATGGGACTGCCCCTGAATTTGGGGTCCCACAGCAAACCCTGGCAGCACCCTTGGGGATGCTGCTGGCTCCATCCTTTCCCTTCCTTCCCCTTCCCTCATGCAGCAAACCACACCATTTTAATGCATTTATAAAGAGAGGTGCTCTGGCCTTGCTCAGCCTGGGGTGCACAAGCAGCTAATGACACAGCTTGTTTCTCCTCCAGTGCGCCGGGGGAAGGAGGAGAGC